GTTCCATCTTCATCAGCAGCGCCGATAGCAGCAGCATCTACTGGTGTTCCAGTGCCGGCACCACTAGCAGCGCCAACGGCAGCTACTGGAGAGTTCGCTGGCGGTATCGGTGGCGTTCAAGCATCTGGCGAAGGTCTTTCTACAACACCAGTTGCTCCGGAGGATGACGCTACTCCAGGTCCTACAGCATCACCAACAGCTCCCGATGATGACCCTACTCCAGATCCTGGTCCTACAGCAGCACCAACAGCTCCCGATGATGACCCTGCTCCAGATCCTGGTCCTACAGCAGCACCAACAGCTCCTGATACTACAGCAGCACCAACAGCTCCACATGGTGTCCAGGACTCCGACTCCGACCTTACACTTGCTCTAGATGGTTTCGCTGACCCCATGACGGAAGAGATGTGGCTGAACGAATTGGAGGTGTCACTCGAAGATGGAGGCGTGAACTGCGTGAACAGCAGTTTTCGGGGTTGCAGTCAGTCGCAGTAAGTTGTAGGTCAGCGAAGAGGTAGCACGAGTGTGTTCATACATCGCACAATGCATGGAGGTGATTCGCACGTTGACTTTGCCACCGGCTTACAATCATTCAGGAAGATGGCCAAGGACTGGGGGGGTAAACTGAGATGCGCAGGTTGAGCAGTTGAGCATGTCCCTTTCAGGAGCAAGTGAAACAGCTTGTCGTCGCGCTGGGTCGCGATGTTCTTACTGCCGGCAGCAGTGGCCTGCCGCAGTCTGTGGAGCTGACGTCAGCCTGCACAGGATCTGGATCATTTGAGCTGGCTGCACATGCAGTCGTAGAGGAATTTGGAGCAGTCGTCAAGCACAGCTTCATGGTGTCCTGACTCAACTTGATATTCATGATTCATGCCGTTCCCTGTGGCCCTTGGTCGTTTGATTCATGTGGCGGCTTATACTGCTGGTGATGCTGAGGTTGAGTGCTTGTTTGCGTGCGAGATCGTTCCGTTCAAGCAGAAATTCTTGAATGAGGTGGTTCTGGATGTCTTCGACCTCCAGGTAAGTTGAGCGTGTTTGATGTATTCTATCATGACAAGACTGTAGTAGACTTAGACTGAATCACTGGATCATCGATTGTTTGTTTGTTCGTGGAAGGATTGTTGCATGTTCAAAGATATCACGAAGCTCTCCGATGAGAACCAACGGCATTGTGTGGTTCACAACCGCAACTGTGTGCCTGAGCTGCAGCTACGGCTACACTGCTACACTGTACCCTTGGTCACTTGGTGATTGATTGCGCATGGCATCTCGTCCTACATGCCACATGCATGCAGGTATTTGTCTTCGCATTTCGTTTGGTGGTTGTTGCCTTTGCCGCTAGTTAGGAACTGAAGACATCCACGGATGTCGGTGCACTGTCGATCTTCTGTGCCGGGTTCAGCTGCAAGTAACCCGGCAAACCGTTGGTGAAAGATATTACAGACTGGGTCGGCTGTTAGGCTTTTGCTTCCGAATGAATGTGAGGTCTTTCAGCCGTATGAATAACGATTTCGAATTGCTGAAGCGTGCTATGGCAGACGAGAAGGACTGGGAGTTGTGAGTGCAACATATCGTTGGCTTGGCTTTGAACCGTTGAGTTGAACTGTTGAACCTGTCCGAGTTCGCGCGCGAGCATGCTGTCTGAGGATTGTACGTCGGTTGCAACATTCAGGGGAGTATGTCAAGTGCTTTCTGATTGCCAGCCGATATGTTTTCTTCTGGAAAATGTGGATTCTTTGGAGACGAGCGACGATGAGCGGCTTGTCGACCGTACATTCGGGATTGTTTGTCAGCTTTTCGTCGCTGTGGCCGATGCAGCTAGGAGTCTAAGAGCTGTGTTTGCCTAGGTCAGGCCAGTCGAATTTGAAGATGATAGTGACCTACCTGTCCGATATGGGCTATGGCGTGCGTGTGGAAAGAGTACGATCCGACAGCTACGGCCTGCCGCAACGACGCGTGCGACTGCTGTTCTTCGGACTAAGGGACAGCAGCGTACTTGTTGAGACGAAGGAGGCCACCTTCGATCGTGTGGTTGAACGAATGTCTCTTCTTCATCGTCCTTGTGCTCCAGTGGAAGCTTGGTTTTCAATAGCAGCAAAAACCAACAAACTCAGCGACGGCGACAACTACTAGTTATAAGTTACAACTTGACAACTACTACGGCTACGACTAGTTATACTGGACCACCACTACCACTACCACCACTACCACTACCACTACCACTACCACTTGCTACTACTTGCTACTACTACTACTGCTACTACTGCTACTACTACTACTACTACTACGACTACGACGACTACTACAGACTCCAGACCAGATTCCCAAATGCGTGTTGCACGGTACATGTACATAGAGAGTCGAAGGTACATAGGGGACACTTCAGTGCCAGTCTTAGATCGTTTAAGGGCATTTGAGGGTTCAGTAGTTCAGGGCTCAGGGCTTAGAGTTTAAGGCCTAGGGCCCAGTAAGTTCAGAATTTGAGAGCTTACCAGCTAATCCTTATGCCTTGTGCGACTTCTTCAGTGCCAGCCTCAGAGCATTCGGGTTTAAGGGTTCGGGCGGTTCAGGGTTTAGCTGAAGTTGAGAGTTGAAAGTTGAGAATTTGGAACTTATCTTATCCTTATGCGACTTATGTGACTTAGCTCGGCTGTTGTGACTCGAAGCTCGAACAGCTCCACTTAGGACGGGTTTTTGCATCGAGATGATGACGAGCTTCTCGTTGCCGAGCTGGCCAGGCTGCAAATGGCTGAGAAGAAGTCGTCGGCTGCGGCCGACGGTGAGAAGTGGAGGGAGCTGCACAGCTCTATGGCAGAGCAGTGTGGGGGTCTTAAGATCTGAAGTCTCAAGTAGTATCAAGGGTTGATGCAGTCCGCCAAGGTTTTTGGGTGAGGTCTTTGCGGGGTTGTATAGCTAAGGTGGCGTGCAGTGGCCATTGGTGCCACCGAATCGACTTTTGGAGTCGCCATGGTTCGAGCATCTGACGAAGCGCGAACAGGAGGTGCGCAGGTGTTCACGGTACAAAATGATAACGTGGGAATGTGGATCGGTCTCTGTGCTCGACATCAGGCCGTTTGCTTCATTGAGATATGGAATGATCGTCGAGATGCAGCATCGAAACAGATGTTCGTGGATATATCCCAGAGCCTCTCCAGAATGCAGTCCGCGACAAGCGCTTCAGAGGCGCAATTGCAAGTCAAGTTGGCAGTAAATTCTAGTTCCAGTACCAATTCTAGATTCTTTTTCATCCAAACATCATAAAACGCATTTGTATTCGAATATGTGTTGACCTGAACTAGGTGGTGCCAACCATACTTCCGGGCTCGCGTCTGTGGAGCGTGGAGCGTGCACGATGCCTGGTGGGAGGCTTGCCTTAAAACACTTACAACTTACAATGTTACTGTTCGCATAAATGTTGCTAAAGATTCAAGATTTGATTTCCGAGGATCGGAGATGTTGGCCTTACAGGGCATCGACATCAGGTCCATCACATCGGATATTACATTATCCCAGCACCAAATGGCGGACCTGGCCGGGAATGCGAACCTCTTCTGGATTGTTACATGAAATTTCAAGCCAAGCCCGTTGCTACTTATTGATTTTATGATTCACTGATTCACTCACTTACCGATCGTTACTCACTGAAAAAGGATATCGGCACCGATCATGACGGCGGCTGTGCTGGCGTTGCTATCCTCACTGCGATATGTGACCGACTCCGAGTCAGAGGAGCTGGATGCAATCAAGAATCAGCAGCTTGGCTTTTAATTACATGTCAGTCGCAGTCGCAGTGGCATGTTGGCGCATGCACTTGGCGTTTCTCAGATTCGGGCGATCGTCGGCGTGAGACTACTCAGAGCGCCAATGGATGACGGGGCAAAAATGTTTCGTCTGTATGTTTGTTGTCGCACTTACATTTATTTGATAAACATATATTATAAATTATAATTAGAATTAGAATTTATGATTCATAATATATATTATATAAATATATAATATAGTAATATGTACATAATATATATGAATATATATATATATATATATAATATGTAATCTTCATTATGTGCGCTGCTGCACTTGCCAGCACAGCGAGGCACCCCACTGACACTCTCAGCAATGCGATGAACGATGTAAGTACAATGCACTACTATACTATCCACTAAACTAAATTCAAGTTTACTACTTCATTCCATTGTACGGTGCTATGCGAACGGCTGTTGTTGTGCTGTGGAACCCTTGCGCTGTACTAGGCGTGTTGATTGTACTAGATTTCTAGATGACTGTGCGAACCACTGCTACTGTACTGTACCACACAATGCGTACCATGCGTGCCATGCGCACCACCTGGACCGTACCATGCGTGCCACCTGTACCGTACCATGCGTGCCACCTGTACCGTACCATGCGTACCGTATGTACCGTACCATGTGCATGGGCCCCGGCATATCCAACAGAGCATTACTCTTAAAGTTAGATAAGTATAGGGTACGGTTTCGGATTTGTACCGAACTATTCATCCGCTGATTGGGACTCCCGTCCAGGAGCGAACCGGGGTTGTCTAAAGGAGACAGAGGAAAGACGACGATCGTGCAGTGTTGTTGGGGCTGAGAAGGGTTTAGGGTTTAGGGTCCCTAAACCCTAAACCCTTAAAACGTCAGCAGCTGTTAGACTCCCTGAGAATTCAGGGTCAGTATAGAGCCATCAATTTAATGTAGGGGCTTGAATATTAAGTAGTCGTATCCTCTTACCGTCCTTATCTACCGATACTAGAAGATACCACTTTAATCCACCCCCGAACCATTATCACTGCTGCCGCCTTTGCTTCGGCGAAAAAGAGACTGGACCCTGAAGCCTTAAGCTTAAGTCCCAAGCCTTCACTCACAAAACCCTAAGCCCCAAACCCTCAAGCCTGAAACCTTAAAACCCAAAAACTCTACACCCGAAAACCCTAAACCCTAGAACCCCTAAAAGCCCGTAACTTTCGCTGACATGTTTCGCAGGAAGTCACCAAGAGCCACGCATACTACGTTGCCGGCTCCTGGGACAAGTTCGCCAACTGCCAGGCTGGTGAAAAGGGGTCTGAAGAGTTATGCAAGGGTTCTTGGAGGTTCAGGGTAGTTATAAGTGGGCTTCTAAGTAAGGTTGCTATAACCATACCCCATAATTGGGGACTTATAACTACACTTATAACTACCCATGAACCTCTAAGTTCCTTTAAGGGATCTACAGGGTTCCTTTAAGGGTTCCTTGATGGGTTCCTTTAAGGGTTCCTTTAAGGGTCCGTGTTTCCATAGGCTGGTGAAATGAGCCTGAAGAGTGCGCGGGATACCGGAATACAGACGAACGATTCATGGCCTTAGTTATTAGAATAGGGTTCCTTTAAACGTTTCTACAAGGATTACTATAGGGGATCTATAAGTGTACGGTGGGTAGTATCGGGGCCATAATAACTACCAGCACTATTTTGGGGGTTCCTGAGTAAAATTGTGGTATACTGGGCCCCCAAACCCTATAGAACCCTTATGGAACCCCAACCCCGAAACCTACGGATCCCATGCAGAACCCGTATGGACCCCTTAAAAGGAGCCCCAAACCCTAGATCCTAAACCCCAATCCCTAAACCCTAAACCTTAAACCCTAAACCCTAATCCCTAAACCCTCAAGAAAGAAATAAATAGAAATTGCTTGTCGTTGCTTGTGTTGAACCCCCTCAAAAGAGAAAACCTGCCCAAAACGTTTCGCTCAAAACTTTCGCTCAAAATGTTTTTGGCAGCCAAACCCTCAGCAATTTCTACAAACCCTAAACCATAAACCCTAAACCCGAATCCCTGAACCCTAAACCCTAAACCCTGAACCCTAAACCCACCCAAAAGAAACCCTAACCCCCCCCCCCCCCCCCCCCAAAAAAAAAAAAAAAACCTAAACCCCAGACCACGGAGGCGATGGAGCGCGATTCATGCGGCAGCTGGTCCCTTGAGGCCCTCCTCCTCTGGTCTCTTCTGGGCTTCTGGGATTTAAGGGTTAAGGTTTAAGGTTTAGGATTTGAGGTTCGGGTTTAGGATTTAAGGTTTAGGGTTTGAGATTTAATTTAAGGTTCGGATTAAGGCTTTCGGGTTTAATGTTGGGGGTTTGAGATATAAGGGTTGGGTTTGAGGTTTAGGGTTTAAGGTTTAGGGTTTTCAGGGTTTAGGTGCTTGGCTAACTCGGGTTTACATCTGGTTTCGAAAGGCTTTGACGACAGGGCTTGACAGTTTTGCTGAAGGAGGGAAACCCCAAAACCCTAAACTCTAACTTTCAACCCTAAACGCCACACTCTTGTCTGACCGAAGGTGATCTTATTCGGGTTGTCAAGAGACATCCGCTGAGGTTTTGTGGCTGTGCAGGGGATGATTGGGCTCTTTAGGACATCTTTGAAGGTTTGGGGGGTTTATCCTAGGTAGTATGAGGGAGACCCTGAGAGGGTCCATGCCCCCCAAATCCTAACTTTTAGTTTAGGTTTGCGAATTTGGCGGTTGGTTGGGTTAGGTTTAGGGCTTCGGGTTTAGGGGTTTAGGGTTTAAGGGTGTGTTGGGGTGACGCACCGTTAGGATTTGGCGGTCAGGTCGGGTTAGATGCTCTTTGATAGAGTTTAGTTTGCAAGACCTCAGAAGATGTCCTACTCCTAAGCCTGAAACCCCAAACCCTAAAACCTAAAACCCACACCCTGAAACCGTAAAACCTAGAAACCCTGAAACCAAGCCACCCTAAACCCTTGCCCCCAGCGAAGCAAGCGTCGCCGTGCACATGTTGCACCAAAGCAGGCATGAGTGCGGGCGTACGCAGATGCCGGCTGGTCTAAAGGAGGCTCCCATGGTCCTTCACCCTCAAACTAAGAGTGGGCGGGCCCTCCTTGGAAGGTTTAAGGCCTTCATTACCCGCTCAAAAAAAGCCCAGCGCTTCATCTCTCCCGGCTGCGGGCCAATCGTCAAAAAATGGCTCCTGAGGGTCCTATGTACGGTTATGGGGGATACTTCCCTAGGGTTTAGGGTTTAGGGTTTAGGGTTTAGGGTTTAGGGTTTAAGTCATAATAGTAATTCCTAATATGGAAACCTTACATTCTACTCCTTCGGTACATTGGACCCTTTGGGGGCTGAACACGAAGCTGAACGCTCGGAGGCCGGACCGGAACCCCCACTTGGATGGCGGGCCTGGTGTGGTCAAAGGTTTCCCCAAAGGGTCCAAAGTACCGATATAGTAGAATGTAGGGTTTCTGTATTAGGAATTACTATCATGATTTGGGGAAGTATTCCCCATAACAGTACATAGGACCCTTTGGTTTCTTCAGCCCGGAGGTCCACTTGGCTCGAAGTCTGGAACATGTCAAACGAAACATTCGGGACCATGGAGCCAGGAAACTCAGCCAAAGTTTGGTGCGCTTCATGGCTTGCCACTGAGGCTCCGCGTCAGTACCGCTAGATCCGCAGCTTCTGCGGGCTATAAGCTGAGTGTTCCATGCTCAGGGTAACCGTGAACTTCAAGAATCCAGAGCCACTTTGGAACAGGGGTACGGGTCAGATGAATTGAACGCATTGGATTCGTTCTTCAAGCTGCTGGATCATTTTTTGAGTTGGGAGCCTACCAGCCACAGTTCTCTCAACTGGGGACCTTCCTTAAGGTCCCCAAATAGCACGGCACCCTTATAAAGAGGAGCCTAAAAAGGACCCCACTTTGGAGAACTACCCATGTGGTCTAGAGTAAGAGTAAGCCCCCAAAAATATGGAAACCGGATCAAAAACAGACACTACTTCAAGGAAGATCTATGGAATCTATGGTTCCTTATCTAAGCGGGCGATTCCCGAATTAAGGATTGGGGTTGCAAGGCCAGTGTTTCTCTATCAGAATCCTACATTAGTGTTTACGGGGTTGTGGGTTCAGGGATGTTCGGGGTTTAGAGGTTTGTGGTTTCGGAATTTAGGGTCTAGAATTTAGGGTTTAGGGTTTAGGGTTTAGGGTTTAGGCTTGAGGGTTTCGGGTTTAGGGTTTAGGGTTTAGGGTTTCTGACTGAGGGTGTCCCGGTACAAGTGCATCTAGACGCCACTGCGCAGGTCACCGTGCAGAACCGCATCGAGAGCTTCCAGATCCTGCTTAACCGTGTCTTGTCGGCCTCACGCCCTTGAACCCTACAGTGTTTAGGGTTTAGGTGTTTTAGGGTTTAGGGCTTTGAGGGTTTAGGGTTTAGCGGTTTATGGGTTTAGGGTTAGGGTGAACCCTATTTCAACCCTGAATCCCCAAGCCCTCAAAAGTGTCGGCCCTCGACTCGCCCACGGCCTTAGACAAAACCCGGGAACACAGACCCTCGCTCCAAAGCCGTGAAGCTGCAGCTGCCTCAAGAATTGGGAGTTTCCGAAAATTAGGGGTACCTTATTTGGGGCTCCTTAGAATACTATCCTACTATTTAGGGTACTATATTAGGGTCCCTATTTTCAGAAACTCCCAACCCTAAACCCTAAACCCTTAATAGAACCCCTATAGATCCCTTAAAGGAGCCCTTAGAAGGGTCCCCTAGTTCCGGAAACTCCCGATTAGAACTGGCTTCTTTTAAAGGCTTCCTCAAAGGGTTCAGGCGCTCAGCCTTGGCGCCGCATCCCTAGGACTAAAACCGTAACTAAAACCCTGAAACAGAAGCCTTAGACCCTCAAGGAGTCATTAAAGGAACCCTGGGGTTTTGGGGCTTAACGGTTGATGATACACATCCCGCAGGACCCATAATAAGGAATATACCATAATTCCCATAGTGTAGGGTCCTTAGGGTAATGCAAGGTTTATATCATCAACAGTAGGTTAGGGTTTCTTCCTAAGGAAGTCTTACAGTCTACCTCAACAGCCTGTTCTAAGTCTGAAGACCCCGAAACCCTGAACCCTAGACGCTATGTTTAGTACTTCTGAACCTTGCACCTTGCACCAGGAAGGCCCAATAAAGCGAAGCTTTCATGTAGGGTTTATCCCTAAACCCTAAACTTAAACCCTAAACTTAAACCTTAAACTTAAACCCTAAGCCCTAAACTTAAACCCTAAACTTGAACCCTAAACCCTAAACATAGACCCTCAATCCCTACACCCTAAACTTAAACCCTAAAGCCTTTTCAGGCTCTCGGTTCTCGGAGGGTTTTAGAAGGTCTACCTGACCCCAAAAGTATGTAGAATAATAGCCCTTATATAAGTTTTGGGCCATTCTTTTACTTACTTTTTGGGGGGTCTAGGTAGGGTGTAAGAGTATAGGTCTGGGGCGCTTTTTGCGACTTTGGGAGTTCCGGGTTGAAGGCTTCAAGGGCTTCTTGTTACTATTCCCACGGTTTAGGGTTCAGGGTTTAGGGTTTAGGGTTTAGGGTTTAGGGCACTTATTTTGTTTGTTCATGTTTTTATTTGTGGCCGTTCGGGGTTCAGGGTTTTCGGGTTTAGGGTTGGGTGGGATAGGGTTGAAGGTTTAGAGTTTCGTGCGAAAGTTCGGGATCTCCAGGTAACTGGTTGGCCACCGTGCACCCGGACGTTTCCAGGGCAGCCCCTTGGCGTGCGGAGCGGCGGCAGGGTTGAGCCGTAGTTCATCGGTTGCGGGACTGGGGTTCATGTAGGCCCCTAAGCCTTAAGCTAAACTTTCCGCAAGTCATGGTTGGAAGAGGGGATCGTGTTTGTGTGGTGCTGAAGGATGGCATTGAGGCACTGTCCAGATTGGTTCCAGGACTGTTGTCGTTGTTATGCCAGCTCCTGGGCTAGCTCTTGAGGGCGATAATTGCTAACAGCTTACCCTTGGCGTCCGTCTATACATATACTGCAGTATCTTTCGAAACCCTATTCGTAGCCTAAACCCTAAACCCCTAAACCTTAAACCCTAAACCCATACACTGGTTCTTGCGGACAAGCCAGCTTACTCGGGCTCCATTTGGGGAGGTCAAGCCAAGTGAACCGAACCCAGCAGGATGCAGCACAGGGGCAGTACTTGGTCCATAAACCCCTGAAAGCTTAACCCCTAGACCTAAAACCCTAGACCCTAAAACCCTAAATCCTGTGAGATGCCATGAATCCCAAACCCGCTTCGAAGCCTCACCCTCTACCATAAACCCCCAAATCCCTAAACCCCTGAACTCTTATACTCTCAGCCCCTCAACCGCTAAACCCAAAACCCGCCTGGGGGTCGACTGTAAAGAGCTGCGGACCCTGTTCACTGGATCACGGGGATAGCCGTTTGGAGTTGAGGGTTCAGGGTTTAGGGCAAAGTGTCACATGTGCACGCAGGGGAAGATTAACGAATAATTGGCAATGGGATTGCATTCGATAGGGCCAGTATCATGGGATGTTGAGTTGACCATAAGCCTTGCGCCCCAAGCCGTCTATAAATCTTAAGCCCTTGTGCGGGAGGCTGCATTCTGCTTGGAAATCGGCGTTCAACAAGGATTTCAGCATTCATTCTTGGGGTTCGCTTGGATCCGGGTCAGGGTCAATGCGTTTGCGGCTTGAGAGGGTTTAGGGTGTAGGGGTGTAGGGTTTGCGGTCATGATTTTGGAGTTTTGATTTACGGTTTGGGGTCTGAGTTCATGGCCTGAGTAGGGATGTTGACTTTATGGGTAGGTGGAAGTGTTGATCATCAATTGCTGTATTTATCCCGTGAATATACTCTTATACAGTGAAAGCAGATGCTGCCCCAAACCTCGATGCTAGTTCAACCCTAAGCCGTTGAAGCCTTCAGCCCTGCAAGAAAAACGCAACCTTAAACTCTGACTGTTAATCAATCCGCGAAGCCCCGATCCCTCTTTCGCTCTGCTAAATGCTAAACCGTAAACCCTTAACTGAAAACACTGAACCCCAGACCGTAAACCCTACTTGGCGGTTCATGGGTAGTTATACATGGAGTTGTAAGTCCCCTAATACGGATTATAGTTATAGTTGCCTTACTTATAACCCCACCTATACCTACCAAGTATACCCTAGACCCTTAGACCTTGTTTGCGAGCCTGAACAAGGCCTTGGACGACGATTTCCGAATCGAGGGCCCCGACGAAGCTGGTCATGGCAAATACTTCTGCCTAGGCGGGCACTGCAAGGGTATAGTATAGGGTTCAGGGCTTTGTGTTTAGAGTTTAGGGCCCCAAACCTCAGAACTACTCACCCTGAACCCGAAACCTTGAACCCGAGGCGCTAAACCGCATACCCTACAATCCTAAACCACAATCCCGAAAATCCCAAGACCCCAAACCCCAGGCTCTACATTCTAACCTTAAACCATACTTGGAGGATCATGGGACTTAGTAAGTCAGGTTACAAGTACCTTAATTGGGCTGTTAAGTGGTTATAAGTATGGTTACCCTAATTATAACCCTAATCACTAAGTCCCATGATCCTTTCAGCACTCATAAACTCTAAACCTTATAGATTTTATTATAGATCCCGTTAAAGGAACCCTATAGATCCCTTTTCTAAGAAACCCTATAGATCCTTTAAGTACAGCTGCAGCATCGGGCCCTTTTGCACTGGAGCCTCGCCGCTCCAAGCTAAAGAGCGCTCCAAGCCTCGATCCCACGGCCTGGAACCCGTGTGTGTAGGGTTCAGGGTTCGGGTATATTAGGGACCCAAAAGGCACATAAGCAGAAGCATGTTATAGGGATATCCCTACCTTATTAGGCTTCATTGTAAGGGCGTTTATATGGGATATCCCTATCCTAATTTTTGCTTATGTGCTTTGTTGGTGCCCTAGGATAGGGTTTAGGGTTTAGGGTTCAGGGCTATTAATACATGAGGGTATAGTGATTGGTTGAGGGATATCGGTTTTGGAGGGTTTTGGGAGACAGGAGGGCTCTTGGTGTTGCAATCCGCACGCGCTTTAAAGGGTGTCCTTGTCAGGGTCTAGGGTTTAGGGTTTAGGGTTTAGGGTTTTAGGGTTTAGGGTTTAGGGTTTAGGGTTTACTGTTGATGGCACAACTGCTCTCCTCTTTCCTGGGGGGCGCGCTGAGACTACTTCCAAGCCTGGCCAGGCAGGGGGCAACCCTGCAACCCACAGCGGTGGCTGCACAACCAAAGGCCAAACGGCCAAACCTCCCTAAACCCTAGACCCTAACGCCACTGCCGCCCAGCAGCTCGGAGAGCGAGTGGCCCATCGTAAGACGGGAAGCCGCCGCACTGCTGGAGCTTGCGTGTTGTGCCAACCGCAAGTTCGCGAGAGGGCCGTCTCCGGCAGCCTGGGCTGCTTGGAGCATCATGGGACTTCAGTACTTATAGGCACGATATTTACCCTAAGCCCTGAACCCTAACCAGTTACTAAGTCCCATGATCCTTTAAGCACGCACGGCCATGGCAGCCGCCTTGCTTGCCGAAGCGAACGGAACTTCCGAGAAACGAGGTGATCGACCGTCGGCTCCCCCCCTAAGCCCTAAACGGTTTAGGGTTTAGGGGTTTAGCTGTTTAGGGTTTAGGGTTTAGGGGTTTAGGGTTTAGGGGTTTAGGGGTTTAGGGGTTTAGGGGTTTAGGGTTTAGGGGTTTAGGGTTTAGGGTTAAGCCCTAAACCAGAGAGCCCAATACCCCTTAATTAAGGAATATACCGCAAATTATAAGGGGATTCATACTATGATTTTTGCTATATCCCTTAATCAAGGGGTATTGGGCTCTCTGGGAAACCCTACTTGAAGGTATACTTGGAGGTTCAGGGGTAGTTATAAGTAGGGTTATAAGTAGGGCAACTATAATGATTACTATATTAGGGGACTTATAACTCTACTTACTGAACCTCCAAGTACTTGAAGAATCATGGGACTCAATACCTCGGGCTATAAGTCAGGTATTATATATATATATATATATATATATCTTTAAATACCTAAACCCCCCACTTAAGGTACTTATGCTCATTGTGACCTTGCTTAGTAAGTTCCATATATCTATAAACACCTAAAACCCCAATTTAAGGTACTTATGGCTTACTACGGTTGATGATATAAATCCTGCATTACCCATAATAAGGAATATACCATAATTACCATAGTTTAGGGCCCTTAAGGTAATGCAGGATTTATATCATCAACCGTAAGTCCCATGGTCCTCCAAGTAGAGCCCTGAACCCTTAACCCCTTAAGCCCCAAACCCCCCGCACAGCTTCAAGGTTTAATACAGGGGCCTCAAGAATTGCCAAATCGGCCCCCAAAATCCTGTTCTGAGTATAAAGGCCCCTATATCATAGAACCCTACTAAGATCCCTTATAGTAACCCTTCTAGATCCCTTTAAAGGAACCCTATTCTAATCATTAAGGGTTCACGGTTTGGGGTTTTGGCTTAGGGCGTAGGTTTTTTAGGGTAAGAACGAAACAGGGAACTTGAGGCTTGCATGTACGACCTCCTTCAGGGTTGCGGCGGTTTGGGGTGTATGGCGTAGAGTTTGAGGCTTTGAGGTTTATGGTTCCTCACCATTTGTATGTATCCGGACTTGTCCTACCTCAAGCTCTGAACCCCTCATCACTCAAAGGGTTTGGGGTTAAAGGGTTTAGGGTTTAGGTAAAGTTTAGGGTTGCTATGTCCGTGGTCCCAACCCCAGCTTCGTTATTTGCCTTGGCTCCCGCTGAGGATAGTGTCTCCTTCTTGCTGAGGCTCGCAGCCATACAAGCCCTAAGTTCATGCGGTATAAGGCCAACGAGAGGCCTATCAAAAAGTGCAGACATCTGATGAAGCCCTTCTTTTCCAAAAGCTCCAGATATCTGATGAAGCCCTCCTTGGAGGTTCATAGGTAGTTATAAGTGGGGCCATAAGTAGGGAAACTATAATGATTTCCTATATTAGGGGACTTATAACTCTACTTATAGTAGGGCATCTCTCGTTGTAACCCATGTTACGGGCCGTATACCTTTGCCTAAAACTACCCAGGAACCTGCAAGAAAGCAAAATGTCCCCTCTAGCCTAAACCCTAAACACCACAGAATAGAACAGCCTTGTCCTTATTCATGGTTCCCCCAAGAGAATAAACAGACCGGCTAGTAGACCTTCTTAAATAATTCCTACTAAGGGATATAGGTATTGGGCTCTGTCTATTGTTTCTAAAAGGACAAGGGTGGAATAGAACCCCCCCCCCCCCCCAATACAACTCCCAAGACAGGTGGCTCCGATAGCGACCGGTTCGAACCGGGCTCTCTGGCCCGCCGGCATCAACGGCTTTTCTTTCAATTTTGATGGTTTGGGGCTTGGGCCTTAGGGTACAGGGGTTGAGGGTTTAGGGGTTTGGGGTTTAGAGTCTGCTTTGAAGGTGTCTTCAGGATTGTGTTTTAGCTTTCGTTGTGTGCTCTCGGCTCGGTGGATTTTGGGTTCAGGGTTGGTAGGGTTTCGGGCGATGATGGGAGGAACGCGCCGATTTTGTTGCTCTCTGCAGATATTGGAGGTCGTTTTGTGGAGGTCCTGTGTTGGAACAGGGGGTCGGAATATATCCAAACTAATCTTTTGTTGTGGTCCGCCTAGAAGTGTATACCATAATACCCTAGGGGTCTAAGGACTCATATATTAAGGCTTTTGGGCCCAAAGACCATACCATAAAAGGCTTTTGGGCTATTTTGATCCCCAGGGAAACCCACCCGAAACCCTTTTCATCCCAGAGTTCTTCCAATTATTCTTATGGTTCAGGTTCCTACCTAGAGGCTCATAACCCCACCCCCTTTTTTGGGGATACCTAGGCTTATGGTTCGGATCTGCTATATGGAAAAGTTGGTACCCTAAAAAGGGGTAGGGTATGAGCCTATGTTGGTTGGGGGTCTCAGCCATGGAGGCCTTAACATCTTTTCAGGGTTTAGGGTTTAGGGTTTAGGGTTTTTAGGACCAGAGCATGTCCTTCTCCGACACGAAACGGAATGCGAAACACCTCTGCATGCGGCGAGGGCCACATGTGGCCTAACCCTAAAGCCCAAAACCCTCAACCCCTAGCCTGAACCCTTCAACCCTAAACCCTGAACCCTGAAACCCTAAACCCCTCAGGCCTAAACCCTAAACCCTAAACACCTAAACCCTAAACCCTAAACCCTAAACCCTAAACCCTAAACCCCTAAACCCTAAACCCCTAAACCCCCGAACTCCTAAGCCCTAAGCCCGAAAAGCCTCAACTCCCCTAACCCCTAAATCCAGAACCCTGAACCTTGAACTCAAAACCCCCAACTCCAAAGCCCTGAGCTCTTGTAAAAGGTTGTGCTTTGGGGTTTAGGGTTTAGGGTTTAGGGTTTAGGGGTTTAGAAGTTTTAATTTCCCTTATTTCCTTATAAAGGGAACCTATTCATAAATAATTTTCAAAGGGTTGAAAGCACAACCCAGAAAGGCAGTCATTCACATGGAGATCGAGCAGGGCTTTCCCTGCAGAGTCTGGTGGGAGAGGCTGGGATTTCGTTTAGGGTTTAGAGTTTAGAGTTTACTTGGGACTTAGTAACTAGGGTTATAATTCGGGTAACTATACTTATAACTACTTATAACCCCAATTAAGGTGCTTATAACCTTACTTACTAAGTCCCATGATCCTCCAAGTAGGGTTTGGGGTTTATGCCGGGTTTCGCGCTTTGGGGATCGGAGTATCGGAGTTTGCGATTTTGGGGGTTTAAATGGCCTTGGGGCCTACGGGTTTAGCGTTCAGGGTCGAGTGTTTAGATTCACTGTCCGAAATAGTTCCGAATCAGGATTTAGGAGTTAAAGTAATCTCCGAAAAGGAAGGTTTGCATGCCACCCTATTCCAGCAGTTCGGGGAAGAGACAGATCCCTAAACCCTAGACCCTCAACCCTAAACCCTCAACCCTAAACCCTAAACCAGGATGCCCAGTAGTACCCTTATTCCCTTTTTGTAGTCCTAGGTTCCTTATAAAGTTACCCAATACCAAAAAGAGAGGCCTTCTTGTTCTTAGGTTACGGTTACGGGGTCGGAGTCGACCGCTGCGTTTTGCATATTTTAGGAATATGCTGAGAATTGTGTGTGTGTGTATGTGCGCGGTATCAATCTTATTATCTATAGTTTAACTATATCAGCTCTGTCATCAACATTAACATCTGTATAATTTCTGTATTACTTGTCACATTGTGCAATCATTAGGTTGATGTTAAGCTACATAACCAACATATAACTAGATCAGTTGGGATTACATCATCTATCTTGTTCATAGTTCTACCAATCTTGACAGATGCGATGCTTCACTAGTTAAGGCTATTAACAGATATGCACTTAATACAATAGCCTTTTGTTCATATTTGGAGGTGATGCTATGTTCTATCAATGTTTGATTTAGTTCTTTGGGAATCCAGAAGTCTACCCTTCCAGCATTCGATAATCAATAGTTTAACAATAACTGGCTTATTGCATGTTTAGTGTCTTTGGTTAAGTTGTCTATAATTGGATAACCTGAGCTATGAGGCTATGAGTTGTCTTTGTCTATTAGGATAAATTAGTTTGGACACATCATATGTTTACAACTAGTATGCAACAGTGATACAAGAGCTAACTTTACAGGTTAATACATTGGTCATATTATCATTACCAACTTGTTCGTTACGATCATGTAGTTGGTATTCTACATCCCTGGACAAGTAATGCATGTCTACTGATACTATTTCACAACTAATGTTAACTGTTATAGTATATCTTTCATATAGTCTGTTTACAATAGGTGGTTCAACCGGTATTATACTCGGTAATTAGTGCTGCTATTGATATAGATTTTCATGACTCTTATTATGTTGTTGCACTTTTTCATTATGTCTTACCATTAAGTACAATCAATGCTACCCCATTAGGACTATTATATGTATTGTCTTGTGCAGTATTAAAATGACGTACTAACACTAGATGAACAGCTATAGGTAGTGGCATTGGCATGAATGGTCTAGGTTAGCGGTGCGTAGAGGTTATTAGGTAGCAGGTCTCAGGTCTCAGGCAGAAATTCAAGGCAGCCGAGGCCTCAGATTGTTCCGCGTGCAGTGCAGTTTCTTCCTTTTTCGATGCGGCATTTGTTGATTGCATCAGTCGAGCAAACTTCTACAGATTTGTTGCTGGAGCGACCAGGAAGTGTCGGCTTAGTCTTGCTTCTGTAAGGGCACCACCAGGAGTGGAGCCTGCGACAGCCATGGCCGCTTTACCGGGAATGATTGTTGCTCCGGCAACGTTTCCGACTGGACAGCAGCTGCAGCAGCTGCAGCAGCAGCAGCTGCTGCTGCAGCAGCAACTGTCGCTCCCCATCATCGCGGAGTCTCGACTTAATCAATTAATTTCGTGTGTGAAAATCTCTTTCAGTTCTCGTTCGAGTGTTTGTAAACTGTGCAATCAAGGACCAGAACGGCACGCTTTGGTTGCAGCCGGTGGCGTCACGGCTCAATTCCATGCTGTTCATGTAAGGTGTTTCTTGTTTGCAGTACATTGTCATGTTCACCGATGTTCTTCGTTGGAAAATGTCTTTTCTATCTGAGGTCGCTCCTCCTGTGGGGGGACATATCGTGACATTCACCCCCATGTGTCTCTATGCAAACATTCGTGTGGTTGTTGACTCCACGCTATTTTCCGTGAATGAATCCAAGGCTAACCCTGCAGCAAAGGGTTTCACGTGGTGGCGGCTGAGGCGTGTTGTTCCCAACTAGTCAAAAAGGTTTGAGGATTCAAGTAGCAGGAGACTCGCATATGATGCACACGCATTGGAGATATGGCAAACAGAAAACCTATAAGTGAATATGCGCTGGAACTAAAGAGCCATGCTGAGTAGTGTCGCAGTTGGCCCTGGAGAACAAACGCATCCAGAGCAATGCAAGCGGCGGGGAAGCCTGCCAGTCTGTAAGTTAGCATCAACTGAGCACGTGCCGCTGCTAGACTTCGCAAGCCAGGAAGTTACTCTCTCCACCCTTAGGGCAAAGCCGGCTGTATAATACTTTTTGACGTCTGGGTGTGTTTGCTTGGGTAGACGCACGTCGGTGCTGGACTGTCGAACCTCCACCCGTGTTAATTATTGTTCTACTATCCAAAGGGTGCGTGAGTGGGTTCCCTTGGTTTTTGCAACAAGTCAGGTGGGTTGCCAGTGGGTTCCCTTGGCTTGTGCAGCCTTTCAATTGGGTTTGAAGTGGGTTCCCTTCATTTTTGTAGCATTTCAAGCGGGTTTCTCAATGGGCTCCCCATGGGTTGCCAGTGGGTACCGGTGGTTGTTGCAGCATTTGAATTCCGTGACTAGCTTTGTCCTACTTCTGGAGGAGATGATGAAAAAAAGAGATCCAGGCCGCGGAAGCCAAGGTCGGCGGAATCGAGAACGTACTATCGGGAGTATAGAGTGACACCAAGACACACTTACTAGCAATTTCGTTCAACACAGGGCAAGCTGCAGGAGGAGCTGGCCAGAGCACAGTTCGAGAAGGCGGGTGTAGAAAAACTTGCTTTCCTTCAAAGATTCTCCAACATGCACGTGAACAGGCGACGATGGCCAAGCTTGAAGAGGAGGTCCAGACCGCCCACGAAGCGGAGGTGGGGCTTCTAATGCGACCCAAAGTAGGGCTTGTGGTCGCAATGTAACTGAGGACAGATTGGTGGCGGAGCTGGAGACATTGTGCTTCGAGGAGGTGGGCTGTGTTGCATCTGGCATCTTTTTCATTATCGTCGGGCGAAACATGCGTATCTTTGCGTCTCAGAAGCAAGGTTGGATTGATCTTTTCACACAGCTGCGAGGAGGTTCTCAAGACCAGCCTTCGTCGCGAGCTGGAGCGACGATGTGCAACCCCGGATTTGCCGGAGAATGAATTGCTGATCAAAGAGGAGATGCTGGCCTATCATCACCAGACAGAGACGAAGGCGGGGTGCTGAAGTCAGTCTGGCAACCCAAACCTCACGATCGGCTCTGCTTTCAAGAGGAGCTCACCGCGATGCTTGTCCATCCGTGACTACGGCACGGCGCCTACGTCACCAGTGTCGCCGAACAACCGCGCGACTTTGGCGAAGCTTAGAGTTCAAGTCTTCGCTACTCAGCTACTAATGCAACATCCAAAGTTCCAACACAGGTGGCTTCAGCTGTCGAAGGGGAGCGGCAGGGCAAGGGAGGAAGGCAGGGGGGAGGGGGGCGGGGCTGGCGCGTGGTGGCCGGATGTGCATTCCAAAGAAGGTGTGGGCTGGACCGGGTGGGGCGAGGTGCGGGTGGGGCAGGGCACAGGCAGGGGCAGGGGCGGGGAAGGGGAGGGGTTTGGGTTTAGGGTTTAGGGGGTTTAAGGTTTAGGAGTTTGGCGTTTGGGGTTTAGGGGGTTAGGGGGGTTTGGGGGGTTGAGGGGGTTTAGGGTTTAGGGCTTTATACTGTAGGGTTTAGGGTTCAGGAAATGCAGCCCGACTGTGAGAGGTTAATACAAATCAAGTTGTCTAAGTTTTTCATGTGTGTTCTAGTGATGTTATGTGAAGGCTTACATCATTACATCTCTAGTAGAGTACAAGACTAAGGAGATTACTTAATATAGTGGTTGGAATGATACTAGTTCAGTTGGTGAGAGGTTGCAGGTTAGTTTCATTTTGTATCACTACAGTCCTTTCCAACCAAGATAGTTTAGTAAGTCTTGAGGAGGCCGCCGGAAGCTTGTCATGAATCGCGACTGCTGCGCAGATATGAGTCACCGGAAAATAGAACTAGGTTATACTAGGCTTGAGTACGGAACACCGCGAATCACAAACTGTATACGGCATGAGTGAGACCAGTGATGCATGAGCGATATATGTGATGCAGCGCACGACTGACACGCATCGGCTTCTTTTGGAACGCGCAGCGATTCATTGAACTGTCTGTCACGTAGCCAATGTGTCTCAAAGCGTCGAAGCCTAAAACCAAAACCTCCAAAACCAAAAAAACCAAAACCCAAAAACTCAAAAAAAAACAAAAAAAAACATTCTTTCAGACCTCTCCCATTTGTGAAGAGCACTGAAAGAATGTTTTTTTTTGTTTTTTTTGGGTCTTTTGGGTTTGTTTTTTTTGGTTTTGTTTTTTTTGGTTTCGTTTTTTTGGATTGGGTTTTATAGGTTTGTTAAAGGAAAGGGGCTGGTGTTTCTTAGGGCTTGAATTACGACAACGCCCTTAAGCGCCAGAGTTGATAGTGATGTCGTGGGGGAGGCGGACCTGAACTGCGCAAAACGCAGTGGTCGAGTTCGGCCCCCGAACCCCTTACCCAAAGGCTCCATGTAACCATATAGTAAGTACTTAGGCCTTAAAGTGGCCCCTATATAGGTACTTTAAGGCCTAAGTATCTGCTATATGGGTACATGTAGGGTACTATAAAGGTTCCTTTATAGGGCTACTATACGGGTACTATAAAGGGTTCCTTGAAAGGGCTACTTTAGGGGTTTTGAGTTTTCGAAAATTACGGGGTACCTTCTTTTGGGTTCCATATAACAAGGCTCCTACTATTTTGGGTCCCATGATTCTCGTAGCCCGATGTGGGGGTTTTCGCAAATTAGGGGGCACTAGAAAACTTCTAGAGCCTCTTACAAGAACCCGAAATCATTAAGACCGAACAGCCCTAAACCCTCTTAGAACCCCCAGAGGGGAAACCCCGTAAGAAACCCCAAACCCTACACTGCAGGCCTAGATCCTTGTAGAACCCTTGTAGACCCCTCTAGCCGGACCCTGAGCCCAAGCTGTAGGCCTAGACCCTTCTAGCCTTAAAGCAGCTCTACATCCTACACCCTAAACCCTCAATCCTCAACCCTAAACCCTTAAACCCCTAAACCCCTACACCGAAGTTTTAAACGCTTAAGCCTTAAAACCCCTAAACCCAAAAGCCTTAAACCTCCGTAGGTCGAACAGCGATCGCGCCCACGAGCTTCGTATCGCCGCTGGTCTCGGCACTTTCCCGGAGAGGTCCCGTGGGGCCCTGGATCACTGAAAGGAATCTTTAAAACCCTAAACCCTAAAGCCTGAATCCTGAAAGAGATCTTTCAAGCCCTAAGCCCTAAACGCTAAGCCCTAAAAGGGTGGCTTGGGCTTAAGGTTTAAGTTTAGGGCTTAAACCCTACACCCTACTTAAAGGATCATGGGACTTAGTAACTAGGGTTATAATTAGGGTACCTATACTTACAACTACTTATAACCCCAAATAAGGTACTTATACCCTTACTTACTAGGTCCCATGATCCTCCAAGTAAACCCTGAAACAGAAACCCTAGACCCTCAAGGAGCCCTTCAAAGGAACCCTGGTGTGTTGGGGCTTAACGGTTGATGATATAAATCCTGCATTACCCATAATAAGGAATGTACCATAATTCCCATGGTTTAGGGTCCTTTAAGGTAGTGCAGGAGTTATATCATCAACCGAAGGAACCCTGAAGGAATAGATTAAAGGAGCCACTAGAGCAGGACAGCGGGGGTTCCTTTAAGGGATCAGAAGTCTATAGAGTCTTAGGTCTTTAGGGTTCCTTTAAAGGGGCCTATAAGGGTTCTATAAAGGATCTATAGGGTTTGGGGTTTAAGGTTTAGGGTTTAGGACTGACCAGGACCCCGCCAATGGCCCTTTATGGAGCCCTTATGGCTCCAAAAGTTAGTATGTACCTTAACCCACCAAAACCTACTTTTTGGTAGGGTCCCTATAAATCCCATATTAGGGTTTAGAATGAGAACCTACAAAATGTAGGTTTTGGTGGGTTAAGGTAGGGTGTATTAAAAGGGTAGTTGGGGGGTCTAAGGAGGAAACCTTCAATTTTGTTCAGGGGTTGCGGGTTCAGGTCTTCGCGTTTAAGCGCTTAGTGGTTCAGGGTTGTAAGGACCATGCGACATAGTAGCTAGGGTCATGACTGAGGTAACTGTACTTAGTCTTGCGTATGGCCCCAATTACGGAACTCATATCCTTACCTACTAAGCCCTTGAACTGGAGTTGTAGGCCGGGGATATCAGGATTTTGTTTGAGGGTTCAGGGGTTTGGGGTTGAGGGTTTAGGGATTTGGGGTTGGAGGGTTTACCGATTTGGGGTTGAGGGTTTGGGGGTTTGGGGCTGCGGGTTCAGAGGATTTGTTTTGAGGGGGTTCAAAAAGGGGCCTAAATAATAACCCATACTACTTTGGAGGGTTCCTTATTATACCTATATATAGCATAGTGGGCCTCAAAAGCCTTATTCCAATTATGAAGGCCCCTATCGTAGAAGTCTGAGGTTGAGGATTTAGGGTTTTGGGTTCAGGGTTTAGGGTTGAGGATTTCAGGTTTTGGGTTCCCCCGAAGGCCAGGAACACCTGCAAAAGCACATGCCAAAGAATTCCACCCTTTGGAAGCCTTAGGGCTGAATCTTAAGGGTTGCTCCTCGTAGCTGCCAGAGCTCCAAGACTGTCAACGAAAGGAAAAAGTGTTTTTCTTTTCAATTTTCTTTTAAAGCATATTTTAGGAATTATCAATGCTAGGTAACACTTACCCTCCATAGGGGCCTTAAGAATGACCAATACTATACTATTTTGAGGGTTTCCTTACTCTAATTTGAAACGCTGCGCGTCGTCCGCCTCGGCCCGGCTGTACGCGCATGCGGCGAGCCCCAACACATAAAGATGCTACATTGCAGTCCCGTGTCGTCGAAAACTCCAGAAAGCTCAGCGAGCGGAGGAGGGGCGGGAGGGAAGGGTGGAGGGGGGGGGAGGGGGGGGAGGGGGCGGAGGGGGGGGGGGCGGGGAGGGGAGGGAGGGAGGGGGGGTGGGTGGGAGGGGGGGGAGGGACTGCCTACAGACAATCTCCGTTGGAGGAAGTGAGAATTCACCACTGGACCTTGGAGCTAATCGACACGTTTCCATTTTTTAGGGGGGGGGGGGGCGGACCGAATAGGAACCTCTGACCGCTTCGGCCGGGGCCGAGGCGAATTATATATAGTATAGTGAGCATCAAAGCCCTATTCTAATTATTAAGGCCCCTATAGTAGACTGTAACATGCCGCCAAACCCTATTCCAATCATTACCTCAGGTTCGGCGGAAGCTAGGCCCATGGTTCTGAAAGGACGGTGCTAGTTATGTGTGGAGGTCTATGTGGTGTTCACGATGTGTGGGATCTGCCGTTTAGGGTATGGGGTTGGGGGTTCAAGGATATGGGGTTTAGGGTTTGAGGTCCAGCTGAAGATTGTAGATGCCATAGCGGTTGCAATAAGGGTATCTATAAGAGTTACACAAGGGTTACTGTAAGGGCTTCACGAGGGTTACTGATACCATACCTAGGGTCGTGGCTGGCTACTTCAGCTGTAGCTTCTGTCACTAAGGTCCCTGACCTTCTATGTAAAGCCCGAATCGCAACCACCCTGTAAATCCCGTGTAAATCCTGAGCACCGAGCCTCTGAACACCTTGACAGAACTCTCATAAAACCTATTAAATCCCCATGCCCCATACAATGCCATGGAAAGACCAACCCCTTACAAACGTACTCAAAGACCCATATAGGACCCTTATCAACACCCTCTTGCACATATACCGGCATCTTTTTAAGAATCCCAACCCTCCCAAAAAAGACCCGATTTCAGAATCCTTACTGTATAGAACCTTCGAGGAGCCTCTTTAAGGAGCCCTTTGAATCAAGCCTGATGAACTGAACTTTAAGGCTCTTGTAGACCCAGCTTTGCTCTGCGACGTGCAGGCATTTCCGCTTGCTGGGCATGATCCCCTACAACGAAGACACAGATACCTCAGCGTAGCTTCGGTGAAGGTCTCGGGTGCTTAAGTACTAAGGTTTATGCGCACAGAGTCTATGGTTGAGGGTTCAAGGGTTCCTTGCAGGGTTCCTTTAAGGGCTGTTTATGAAGGCGTCAGTGTTTTGGAGTTGGGACTCTAAGATTCTAGGGCTTGAGCTTCTATGCCGTAGGCTTAAGTGCTTGAGGGTTCCTTTGAAGGGTTCCTCTACAGTGATCTATTACGAGGTTTCAGGGTTTCGGGTCTAGGGTTTTGGGCGTTAGAGGGTTTTGGGCATAGGCTTATTGCGGGTTTGGGGTTTAGTGTTTCAGGGTTCTTCGGCTGCAGGGCGAAATCCCCATTCCCAAACCCGACTTAGGACATTCAGGGCGACAGCTGCTTTTTGTCGTTTAGGGGAGTGGGGTGTAGGGCTTAGGGTTTAGGGATTTAGGGTTTAGGGTTTGGGGGTTAGGGGTTAGGGCTTAGTTTGGAGTTCATGGTTCGGTTTAGGGTGCGTTCTGAGCAGGATGACCCGAGTTTGAGTATTCACCAGGTCCTACCTGCAAAACTATTTACTACGTTTGATGATATGGGTCCTGCATTACCCAGAATAAGGAATATACCATGATTCCCATAGTCTAGGGTCGTTCAGGTAATGTAGGATGTATATCATCAACCGTAGTGAGGTGACGCGTCTCGCCGCAGTCTGACTCCCACGGTCTTTGTTGGTATCCCTAAACCCTAAACCCGAAACCCTAAACCCTAAACCCTAACCCTAACCCTAAACCCTAAACCCTAAACCGTGAGCTTTCGCCAACCGGGGACCGTCCCTTTGACCTTGGTTTCAGCGATGATCCATCTCCTGCCTCGAAGCAAAAGTGAATGGAAGAAAGATCAAATTATCATTGTTATTATTGTTATTACTATTATTGCTATTATTATTGTTATTGTTATTGTTATCATTATTATTGTTATTGTTATTGTTATTATTATTATTGTTGTTATTGTTATTGTTATTATTACTATTATTATTATTATTATTATTATTATTATCATTATTATTATTATCATTATTATTATTATTATTACTATTACTATTACTATTATTATTATTATTATTATTGTTATTATTATTATTATTATTATTATTGTTATTATTATTGGTCCTCCTTGCCCCATGGCCACGCCGGGATTCAGATGCACGATACGCATCCGCCCATTAGCCGTGGTGTCATCTGGAAATATGCCAGCCTAGCCTCAAGGCATGCCACTCGAGGGGTGATGCAACGACGGTACGCTGCTCGTGATGATGTCGAAGCCGGACAAAGTGAGTTCCACAACGAAGCAACCGTAGCTTTCGGAGGCTGCCGGATGGATTGCTCAACAACAGAACATCCAAGACCACCTAGATACGTACCTCAAGGAATCAACCTCTAACATCCGAACTTAGCCCTAAACCCCGTCCCCAATGCAGGTAAGCAGGCTGACAGGTCCGTTGTGGTACTGGTACATTAACGGGGACTACTATGTCAAGAGATCCCCCCTGAACCCTAACCCCTAAACCCTAAACCCTAAGCTCTGAGCCCTAAATCCTAAGCTCTGATCCCTAAACCCTGGCTCAGGTATTTGGCCAATCCGCCAGATTGGTGGAACGAAGGACCTCATAGGGATAGCCCGGTAGGCGCCAGGATCGCCTGAGGGCTCGGATAGATGTGTATTTAAAAGATGATGAGAATAAGGTAAAAATCCAGAAAGTTGGAATATGATTATCCTAAACCCTTTATGGTAAATTATAGGGTATCCTACCCTGAAACCAAATTCCAACTTTCGGGAGTTCCCTTTAAGTTATCTAGGGTTACGAACACGGTAAATATACTTATAAGTGCGTACAACCCCCATTGAGGTACCGATAACCTTGCTTACTAAGTCCCATGACCCCCTTCTAGAGCCCTTATACACCCCCTTAAGGATCCCTTCAAGGACCCCTTTATTCCCCTGAGCCCTCGAAGTAGGGGTTTTGGGTTTCAAGCGTTCGGAGCTTCGACGTTGTCCAGGGTGTTTGGGCCTAAACCCGAGCCATTCGGCTTTTCGGGTGCTGACGGGTTGTGCTTTTTTCTTTTAAAGGGAACTCCAGAAAGTTGGAATATGGTTTCAGGGTAGGATACCCTATAATTTACCATAAAGGGTTTAGGATAATCATATTCCAACTTTCTGGCTTTTACTTTAGGGTTTAGGGTTTCGGGCTTAGGGTTTAGGGATTGCGTTGTATTCGGAGTTTCGGGCCCAGGGTCCTTACACCTAGGCAAGTGGCTGAGAGGGATATAGGGCTTACCGCGTAATACGCAAAGAGCTTCTTCGGTGTTTACCAATCGTCTCCATCACGATCCCTTCTTTTGCTTGGCAAATTTCACGTTTAGGATCCTTCGAAAAGCGCAGAACCTGCACTACAAACTGGGTGAGAGGCAACACAAAGCAGTATTCAGAAGATGCAGAATCCAAAATTATCATCAATGGTCGTTGAACTTTAAGCCCGTCAGTAGTGATCAGGCTTCTCATGGCAATGAGCCCAGCCAAGAATCATCAATAATCCCTAGACAGAAGCACCCAGTATAGAAGCCTGCACACAGCAGTTCTAGTCCTTCTAGCCCAAGACAACAGTTGTCTGAAACTCCCCAGCGCTTTCAACAACCTTTCAAAACCTGCACAAGCCTGTGCAGCACTGCAACACGGTGCAATCACGGGACCCACGCTACACCCCACCCAGAAACCTTTAGCCCTACAGTGAAAGGCGGAAAGCTGCGCTTTAGGGTGTAGGGTTTAGAGGTTCAGGGTTTAGGGGCTTAGGTGTAAGGTTTAGGATCCAAACTTCCAGGACCCAAACACATGGACGACGAACTTCCAAACGTATAAATCGACCAAGTTTGCCATCTTCCAACTTTGCAATCCCAAACGAGGTTTCTAAACAAAGCCCGTTGGCGGGGTTTGTGGCTTTGCCACAAACACGGAGAAGCTTGCGTAGCAAAAACGCAAAGTTGGAAGATCTGGTGCCGGACCAACCGCTCTCGAGGGTTTAGGGGTTTAGGGGTTTTGGGGTTTAGGGTTCAGGACTTAGGGTTTAGGGTTTAGGATTTAGGGGTTTAGGGGTTTAGGGGTTTAGGGTTTTAGTGTTTACGGGTTTAGGGGGTTAGGGTTCAGGGTTTAGGGTTTAGTTTAGGGCTTAGGGTTTAAAGTTCAGGGTTTAGGGTGCTCCAATTGCCAGATTCCAGCGTTCCGGCATTCACCATAAACTCTGTGACAGGACGTGTTGAGCGTGACTTCATCGAGGAGAGGCGAGACATCCTGAAGAAGGTCGCAACGCCCGGTTGAGCATGCCTTCAGCAACAGTAGTCGTCTTACGTTTGGGTGGCTCTCTAAATAAGGGTCCCTCGTGGGGTCCTTTTTGCAAGGGTGCTCTACTATTATAGCTTAACTCATAATATATATATATATATATATATATATATATATATCCCCTTATAATTTCAGGTATACGCCTTAAGGGGTATTGTGGGGACCTCAACAGGGAACCTAACTTAGCTCTAAAGCCTTCTTCTACTTATTCAGCCCCCTAAACTCCGGAAGCCCCCAAGAAAACCCCAACTCGTTCTTCTAGAACCCTAAGTTTAGGGTTTAGGGTTTAGGGTTTAGGGTTTAGGGCCCTAGAACCCTAAACCATAGAACCCTCAACTGCTAGGCGGAAAAAGGTGCTCATAAGAAAAGCCTTAAACCCTACTTGGAGGGGCAGGGGACTTAGTAAGTAGGATATAAGTAGAGTTATAAGTACCCTAAACGGAGTTACCCCAATTATAACCCTACTTATAAACGACTTACTAAGTCCCCTGCCCCTCCAAGTACAGCCCCTTAAAACCCCCCGTCTTTTGCGGAAGCCTTTTAGTCCGGGCTTTGTCATCTTGCCGGGCTTCCCCTGCGAGCAAACTCTACGCCTCAGGCGCTGAATCCCAAACTCTCACTTTTGGTAAAATAATGGTCCAAAACCTCCAAAGGGCTATTATTCTACAGACTTTTGGGGTCCAGGTAAGCCTTAAATACTAGGATGCCCAGTAGTACCCTTATTCCCTTTTTGTAGTCCTAGGTTCCTTATAAAGTTACCCAATACCACAAAGAGAGGCCGTTTTATTCTTAGGTTACTGGGTATCCTAGAATCCCAAAGCCCAACCTAGTAGTGGAGTAGGTAACCTTTAACCTTTTTTGGGTAGTATAGTCCCTATATAATCCATATATAACCAAAGAGGCTAACCTTTAGTTCCGCATGATACCCGACAAGTAGGCCAAAACCCGAAACCCTAAACTCCTGGACCCTAAACCCTGAACCAGGCGTTTGGCTTTTGAGGTTCGCTACCCGCTACGGTTGATGATATATAGATCCTGCATTAGCCATAATTAGGAATATATCATAATTCCCAGTCTAGGGTCATGAAGGTGATGCAGGGTTTATCATCAACCCTCAAAGCCCTATAGATCCCTCAAAGAACTCCTTAAAGGTAGCCTTGTAGATCCCGCAAAGATCAACAGTAGTTTTCCCTCAAGATCCCGTTGCTCTTCGCATGGTCGTGGTCAGACCCGCAGCCTTCGGACTACCCTCTACCATAGGGGCCTCAATAGTAGTTACCCCTACTACCGAATGTAGGGGCCTTTAAAGGGGTCTATAAGGGATTTACAATGGGGTTTTCCGTGTGCCCTACCTAAGGTAGATGGCTTTTCGCTATCGCACCTTCTGGTTTTGGGACTGGGACACAGAACTGGTTCGGTCTGGTGTCGCCTGAATCCGTCTATGCAATTCTGGTGGATTGTGTGGACTCTCGCTTTCACCTGGTGCGACCCGGACAGGGCTTCATTGAGGCCCCCTGGACACGATTTCGCGCCGAGCCGAGAACCGGCGCGGCACAGAAAGCGGAGCCGGCAGCATACGGAGGCCCGCGCACTGCTCGGGACGTATACCTGGAGATTCATGAGTAGTTGTAAGTCGAGTTACTACTCCCCTAATATGGGTTATAACTCTATACCTTATTCATAAACCCAGTTACAACTACCCTTGAACCTCCAAGTACAACTGGCACTCTGGCGCCTTCGAGGCAAGTGACCAGAACACTGTGTCACTGGACCATCATTGCAACTCGTGCCACCCACGCTGAGCCGCAGTCATCATGCAGAAGAAGAACAAGGGAGAGGCGTGGGAAGTCCCTAGACACGACACCCTAGTCCCAAAAGAAGGGACCCAGACTCAGAAACCTGAAACCTCCTCATCCCAAGATGTCTAACATAGCAGCCTGAATCATTGATGTTGCTATATAATCGGAACCGTAGAAGTCATTGTATAAGCGGTTGAGCCCGTGGACTAAGATCACAAGGTTTCTTCTGCATTATAGTCATGGTATAGGGTTAGAGTTTAGGGGTGAGGCTATAGGTCCTGGCAATTGCAGATGCGGGTTGCTACATCCCCAAACCTAAGACTATATCCTGACTTACTAAGCCCCGTGATCCTTCATATAGAACTTTTCTTGAATCCTTTAAGGAACCCCTTAAGGGCTAGGCTTTAAGGGGTTTGAGGGCCCAAGTTTAGGGTTTATGGCTTAAGTTTAGGGTTTAGGGGAGTCTTGGAGGCAATCTAACCCTAAACCCTAACTAAACCCTTTAGGTCTATAACCAGGGAGCTCGACACTCCCCCCCCCCCCCCAAATACGGGGTATTCCTTCGATCATGGTATCAAGCCGCTGAGACAAACGAGGAGCCTCACAGCCCCAAACAGGTCCCTATGTCCCACCAAACATATATTCGACCCATCGAAATTCAGTCGAATCTTCCCACACCCTTGCCTATGCCGTATAAAGCCCCTATAAAACCTTTATAAAGTTATACAGCCCCTGCTTGGAGGTTCATGGGCAGCTGTAAGTGCGGCGATAAGTAGGGTAAAGATAATCTTAAGCCCAAGTTCGAGGACTTATAACTCTACTTATAGCAACCCGTGAACCTGCAAGTTCAACACCTGTGTCATGAGCCCAAGCCCCCGGACTCTGAAAGTTGGCAGGCCGCGAAGCATGTGGCGGAGGCGAGGTGTGGGGAGGGCTTGCCGAAGGTTGGGGTTCAGGGTTTAGGGCTTAGGGTTTTGGGTTTGGGGTTTGGGTTTAGGTTTTAGGGTTTGGGGTTTAGAGCTTCTTCGTGGCCCTGAGCCCCAAGCTCTACGCCTAGCTACCCGTTGGCGGCCATCGAGGCTCGAGGTCTTTACTTAGAGGATCATGGGACTTAGTAACTAGGTAACTTGGGTCATAATTAGGGCACCTATACTTATAGCTACGTATAACTTATAACCCCAGTTGAGGTACTTATAACCTTACTTACTAAGTCCCATGATCCTCCAGGTACAGGGTTTGGGACGGCGACATGTGGCGTTCAGGGGGCCATCCTATGCTGTGGGGTTCTGCAAGTTGCAGGCTTTGAGAGTTGTGTTAGGGTTCTGTAGCTTATCAAACCCTATACAAACCCTACCGGAGGATCAAGGGACTTAGTAACTAGGGTTATACTCAGGGTACCTATACTTATAGCTACTTATAGCCCCAATTAAGGTGCTTATCTATCAAACCCTGCCACAAAAGTCGCCTCAAAGGCATGAGCATGTTTATTCGAGAAGCGCTGTCTGACCATCAGCAAGCTCCCCAGGGTTTAGAGTTGTGAGTTTAGGGCTCAGAGTTTTGAGTTTAGGGCTTACGGTTCTGAGTTTGGGGTTCAGGGCTCAGGGTTTTGAGTTTGGGGCTTAGAGGATGGCGGGTATTGAGGGCTATGAGCTTAATATAGGGGCCTCAATAATTACCTATACAATTTTTGGGGTTCCTTAGACGGTTCCTTATTAGAAATATCGTATAGTGGGCTTGAAAAACCTTAGTCTACTTGTGTAGGCCCCTATATTAAGGGGTTAACACCAGGTGAGGGACACCCCGGAGAACGAGCTCATGGAGAAACGGATGCAGCTTTCGCGCCTTTGCCGAGTTGGGGATTTCTTACAGGATCCGGGTTATTGTCGGATTTTTACTGGTGGTTTAACAACTCGGGATCCCTTAGAAGGGGCCCCCACCCTGTAATAGTGGTATAATAGGAATATAGTAGGGCCCTAATATAATCCTTATAGTCACTATTACAGGGTGGGGGCAGCCTCTAAGGGATCCCGTATTGTGGTTCCTTGTGCTATAGATCCTATAACCCTAAACCCATAGACCCCGGAACCCTAAGCCCTTACAAACCCCAAACTCCTAGTGACAAAGATCCTGGCACTCGAGGCCTATGTTGGGTTCCCTTAGGGTTTAGGGTTCCTTTAAAAGGGATCTACAAGGGTTCCTATAATGGGATCTATAAGGGCTTAGGGTCTACTTGGAGGATCATGGGACTTAGTAAGTGAGGTTATAAGTACCTTAATTGGGGTTATAAGTAGCTATAAGTATAGGTAAGTTAATTGGAATTTTGGTTACTCAGTCCCATGGTCCTTTAAGTAGGCCCTAAACCCTAAACCCCATACATCCCTTTAAGGAACCCTATAGATCCCTTGAAAGAGCCCTTTAAGAGCCCATGGCCCTTTAGTCTGTGATAGGTGAGACTCCCTGTTCAAGGTTCCACATTTCAATACCCTAAGCCTAGGACCCAAAGTAAGCCCTTATTCCCTTTTTGTAGGGTTCAGGTTCCCTTATAAGCCCTCTAAACCAAAAAGGGTACCCTTTTTATTCCTAGGTTACTCTTGTGTCTAGAAGCCCTAAACCCATCATAACATACCCTGTGCTTCCAAGGACCTTATAGTTAGGGCCCTAGGCCCCTTAAGGGACCCAATAATAAGGTCCCTGGAAGCCTAGGGATAGGGGCCTAAAAAACCTACCAATACCATTTCGGGGGTTCCTTATATGATGCGTAGAACAATGGGACCCCGAACCCTACTCTAATTATGGAGGCCCCTATACTATAATAGAACCCTACTATACATCGCTTATAGAGCCCTTTAAGGAACCGTTTAAAGGGAACCCTATTCTGATTCTTAAGGCCCCGACAGTACTTCAGTTCGATGGTTTCGGGTATGGAGGGGTTCGAAGTGGGCGTTTTTGGCAGGCTTCCGAGCTTAGGCTTTAGGGGTTTGGGGTTTAGGATTTAGGGTTTAGGGTTTAGGGTTTAGGGTTTAGGGTTTCGAGTGTGGGGATCGGCTCTCTCAAAGGGGAAAAGGAGGGACCCTTAATGGGGACCCCTACCCCTATAATGGGCTATATGGTGCGTATATAATAGCTATATTAAGGGTATATACCTAGGGGTCCTTATTAAGGGTCCCTCCTTTTACCCTTGGACTCTCGAGTTTAGGGTTCAGAGCTTACGGAGAGGCTTCCGAGTAGGGTGCACAGTATGGGGACAGGCTGCCGAGCCTAGGGTCAGAGTTTAGGGTTTAAAGATTCAAGTTTATGGTTTATGGTTTAGGGTTTATGGTTTAGGGTTTAGGTTTATGGTTTGGGGTCTAGGGTTTAGGGTTTAAAGATTCAAGTTTATGGATAGACTTTCGAGTTTAGGGTTCGGGTTCTGGAAGTTGATTTAGGGTTCAAGTCGTGGTGCATGGTGGCATCCCCAGGTGAAGGCAAATTCGGGGTCCGAAGAGCTAGAAAGATTATGCCCCCCCTTGTAGTCCCTAGTATCTTAGCACAGGCCCAGCCCCCATAATTCCTAAACCCTACTTAAAGGATCATGGGACTTAGTAACTAGGGCTAGAACTAGGGTAACGATACTTATGACTACTTATAACCCGATTAAGGTACTTATAACCTTACTTACTAAGTCCCATGATCCTTTAAGTAAGCCCCTAAAAGCCAGCACACCTTATAAGATCACGTATTCGGGCAGAGATGCGGCGAACCTCAATGTTTTAAGCAGGATGTTTGTCCATTGAGGGGTTAGAGTCGAAGGTTTAGGGCTTAGGGTTTAGGATTCAGGGTTGAGGTTTAGGGTTCAGGGTTTAGGATTTAGGATTCAGGGTTCAGGCTTTAGGGTTTGGGTCGAGGGTTTACTTAAAGGATTATTGGACGTGGTAACGCGGGCTATACGTTTTCTACGTGTAATTACTTACAGGTTCAGTTTAGAAACTTATGACTCATGACCGTGCTTGCTAAGTCACGTAGGGTTGGTTTGGGGTTCAGGGTTTGCGAATGACTGTGTAGCCGCAGTTTCCTACATTCCTTAGCAGTGCCATTGCGGGTTTAGGAAGCCAGTCTGGTTCGAGTTGAGGCCTACGGTAACCCCCCAATACCTGCCTGTTTAAGGACTCCATCAGAGAAGAAAGCAGCAAGGAACCCTAAACCCTAAACCCTGAACCCTAAACCCTAAACCTGTTCCCAAATCCTGAATTCAAAATTGAGCCCCAAGTCGAAACAGCGAGCCTGGATTCTTACTAATGGACTGAATTCAAGCTACCATAAAAACAGAAGCCACATTATCTATTATTTACTATGGATGCCCATTATGGGTAATATATGTTAAACACCGTAACAAGAACCCAGGAGCCTCAGCACGAATCCTACGCCGGAAGCCCTGTCGTGCCGAGGCGGTCACTCGCCTAGCTTGTGGCTTTCCTGGCACATGGCAAAGGAGCCGGAGGTTGCAACATACCCTAAACCCTAACCTTAAACCTGCGGGGGCGGGAGGAGACGAAGCGCGTTCGGGGTGTATCGCACTCGAATCATATGGGAGCCTTCCGAGAGTTGGCAAACATGATGTCCCGTCAGGCAGCTATGTTGCCACAGCTTCATGTCGTGAGGACGTCGTGATTTCTTGACATGCGTTTAGCACAGACTGATGCAGCTGATGCAGGCTGATGATCATCCGAAGAGCTCATGTCAGCGGCTAGGAACGGTAGAGGGACGGAGGTTTATCATGATCGCGACTTTGTGATCATGCAGCAGAATTCGGTAATCACAGATTCAGCTGAGAGCTACATTCGTCTCATTGATCCGGTCGCTGCAGCTATGACTCAGCTGTGATAAAAGGCTCACTGGTAGAAAACCGCTGCATGAATATGCCGTTGTAGGTATACACGGCGGTGCATCGGCGGGCTTGCAGTAGGATTTGAGTTGTTCTCGTTCGGTTATGACGGAATGGTGGCTTCTGACGCATGCTCTTCATCGTTGTGCTTCATCTCTGCGTATCGCTGCAAAATCGGCTTCGGCTGCAGCTAGGTTTTGCAGACTTATTGCTGCGCTTTGCGTGTCATGTTATTTGGTGCGGCAGAGCTGCTTTATCTTGACACGGCTTAGATGTCGATTGCCCCTGCTCTGTGTCGTACCCTAAACCCTACGCATGGGCTACTCTAACCCCCAAGTCCTAAACCCTAGGCCTAAAGCCCTAAACTCCAAACCATACCCTAAGCCGGCATAACCTACGACCTACCTGTTCTGAGGACTTATATAAGGAAATCATAAGAAGGAGCCCCACAAATAGGTTATTCAGGGTTAAGGTAAGCGCTGAACCCAAGCCTGTAGCCTCCGGATCAAGCTCTCCGGTCATTCTGAGGAATGTATTTTGGCAGGTCTCCACGCGCACCTGAAGGATCCAGAAATTTTGGCTTTCAGGAAACCCTGCAGCTCTAAAACCCGGTCCTGAATTATTGCTGATACTATTCGACAAACTTCGCTGTGGGTCCCAAAAAATTACAGTACAGTGCGCCCCAAAGAGTCCCTGAACGGATTCCGGCCAAGAATGGCACCTGCCGCATGCATCGTCGGATGCCGGAGTTTCGGAGGCCTCAAAAGGTGGGATGAAGGTAGGTGGGATATTCCCAAATAAGAGTCCTTATATAAGGGATCCTTAATCCTACCTACCTTCATCCCACCTTTTGAGGCCTCCGGTAGTTTCAGGGTTTGTTTCAGGCCTGCCCTGACCTTTTCAAATGTGGGACCCAAACAGCACATAAGCATAAGCATGTTATGGGGATATCCCTGTCTTTATTGGGCTTCAGTTTAAGGGGGGTTTATATGGGATATCCCTGTCCTAATATTTGCTTGCGGGCTTTTTGGGGCCTTATCAAAGGGTCTGTAAGGCTTACGATAAGGGGGTTGCGGGTTTAGGGTTTAGAGCTGATACTTTGTGTTTAGGGTTTCGGGTTTAGGGTTTAGGGTTGGTACTTTGTGTTTAGAGTTTTGGGTTTGGGGTTTATGCTTCATGTATAGGGTCTAGGGTTTCCAGATTCTTCATATGGACAGGTGTTGAGACACAGCCAAAAGAATTCAACGCTCCCCTTTCTGTGGGCATGCCGATAGCAGCCGTGTGTATGCCAAGAGCATGCATGCCCTTGGCCCTTGGCTAAGGCTGTCATACTTACACAGCCTTTTTGTTCTTGTTTGTATTGGTATGACATTGTGGCTGTTGTATTTACTCGTATCTACTACCAATGTTCTCAGTTACACTCGTGTGCGTATTAGCATCCGTAATGTTAGTAGACTTCGGTTTCGTTTGTCAGGATATGCGAGTTGCCGAAGAATTAGGGGTACCTCATTTTGGGATCCTTATCAGAAAGGATCCTGCTCTTTAGAGTATTTTATTGGGGTCCCCAATTTTCGGAAACCCTAAACCCCAAACCCTGGCCCTAAACATTAAACCCTAAACCCGTGTAAGCTTACGTGAGGACCTCGACGGCCGTTGATCGAAACCCCTCACGATAGGGGCCTAAATAGATACCAATACTATTTTGGGGGTCCTTATTATAATTATAGTATAGCGGGCCCCAAAACCCTATTCTAATTATTACTTAAGGCCTCCGTATCACCCCCAAGAGACAGCATGATGCCGCATCCGGGATGTAGGGTTTACTGTTCAGAGCAGCGACTGTAGCGAGCAAGTTGTCTGACCTTTCGGGGAGACGCCTGGGCCCTAAGCAGCGAACCTTAAAGGTTCATGGGAATAAGTAACTGGGGTTGTAAATACGGTAACTGTGCTTAGAAGTGCTTAGAACCCCGGTTAAGGTACTTATAACCTTACTTACTAAGTCCCATCCTCCAAGTAGACCCTAAACCCTTATAGATCCCGTTATAGGAACCCTTATAGATCCCTTTTAAGGTAACCTTACTTACTAGGTCCCCAGGATCCTCCATTATTCGATGGGACGGCAATGTGACTTCAATATCTGCTTGGTACCGAAGCAAAGTCAACGATAAGACGGCTGCGAACTGGATGATCCCCAAAAAGCCCAGCTTGCTTTGTATGTAGAGCGGTGTTGGACGTAGTATCCGAGGGGACACTCCAAGCAGACGATACTCACTAGTATTCCTCCGACCCTATGATGAATGCCAGATTGTGCTAATTTTCCTTACTTCAAATCTACTCCTGACCTCTCCCAAAACTTCAGCGACCTGGCTGCCATTGGCTATGCCTCTCTCTCCGACCGGGCGGAGCTGTGCACACATTTCGGATGATGGATCTCTGGCTTGGGGTTCAGGGTTCAGAGTGGAGTTAAGGTTTCTGATGAGAGTTTTCAGGCTTTAGGGTTCGGAGTAGAGTTTAGAGTTGCTTTAAGGCGTCTAATAAGAGTTACCTCCTTTAAGGGGCTCGATATGGGTTTCAGATAAGGCTTTAAAGCAGTAAGCAGGCTAAGCAGGCCTGTATGCTTCTCTGCGGTCTGAAATTCTGGAGCCGAGGGTGGCGCATTGCACACGAGAAAGTTTGTGGTTAGTAGGGTTATGGTTATGAGAACCTTCACCTGGAACCTCGAAGCACGTCATAAACCATAGGGTATATTTAAGACCCGTAGAAAAGCATTCAACGCCACTCATGGCTGTGGCACCTTTCAGAACCCTGCTAAACCGTAGCACCCAGCCCTAAATCCCTTAACCAGGACACCTAAAGCCCTGACACGAATTTGAACTAGTTGCCCTGGTTGGAACCCTACTGACTACGTCAAGGGTCATGGGCTTTAGTCACTACACTAGGGTTATGAAGACAGAAAGGACGGTTGTGGCGTGTGTAACGTGGTGGGTAGCTATAAACAGGAGAACTGCACCTTTTGATGCATGTAGCCCCAAACAAGGGAACTCATAACCTTAATTATTGAGTATCTGAACCCTAAATCCTAAACCAAAAACCCTACACCCTAAACCGAGCAGGAGCCAAGCCAACTGGGAGTTTCGGAAGACGGTGGGATCCGAATTATAGGAATATAGAGCCATAAGTTGCGAAGACTGCAAGAGAAGAATCCTTATTCCACGGACCCGGAATAGTAGGATATCCCCATTACCATAATATACAGCCCTCAATCGTAGCTTAAGTGGTGGGACGGATCTTGATGTTAGAAGGACGCATTGTGGTTATACGGACCCCCCGAAAATAATAGCAACCTTATTCGAAGGATCCGAAATTAGGTACTCTGACTAATGCAATCCCCAGTTGGTTCCTGTGTCTCGGCCCCGCTGCAGCTCAGATGCCTTGTCCCAGCCACCAAGTCGTGAAGCAAGATGGATTCAGAATGTGGGATTGTGGAGGGTAGGCCTAAACCCTAAACCTGAGAACCCTAAACCATTTACCATAAAACCTAAAAATGTAAGTTTGGGTACGGGGCCCTAAAGCCCTAAACCCTAGGCTGTAGGGTTTTGTGGTGCTTTGGCGCGCATTGCCAGTGGGTTGCTGAGGGTTCGGAGGTCGTGTGCTCCTGTGTACATGACTAGGATGCCCAGTAGTACCCTTATTCCTTTTTTGTAGTCCTAGGTTCCTTATAAAGTTACCCAATACCAAAAAGAGAGGCCTTTTTATTCTTAGGTTACTGGGTATCCTAGATGATTACTTGGAGGATCATGGGACATAGTAAGTAGGGTTATAAGTACCTCAATTGGGTGTATTAGTAATTATAGCTGTAGTTTCCCTACTTATAACCCCAGCTACTAAGTCCCATGATCCTCCAAGTAGGGCCCAGACCTCAATGCAGCTATAGGGTAGCATATATGTACGTGCTGTTAGAACTGATAACTTGCAAAGTTTCGCATTTATATCACACTACTCGTCAATGATCGTCGGTTGAGGCGCTGGAGCATCTGTGCCTGGTGGCAGATAGACCCGAGATGCGAATGCTGGCAGAATATCACTCGAAGACCGGCGCGCATGGGAGTCTCATCAGTGTGGGTCATCCCGGTTCCGAATGATTACGTGTAGACCGCAAGGACCCTAAACCCTAAACCCCTCAACCCTAACCCTGAAGTCATCTGTTGCTGTAGTACTCCGAAGTTCCTTAGATTGCTCCTTCGTGTTTGTTCTCTTCTAGCACACTGTTAAGGTCGAGCTCTTACGTCATCGTGCCGATGTTGTGCCAGTTGGTCATGGCGTCGCTTGTTCATCCATGAAGCCGTGCATCCATCCCATCTATTCACTCATTCGTCCACCCATGCACCCATGCACCCATCCATCCATCCATCCATCCATCCATCCATGCGTCCGTCCATCCCTCCATCCATCCATGCATCATTCGGTCTTTTTTCCTTTTTTCCACTCATGCATTCATTCATCCGTCCATGCCTTCCTTCCCTCCCCTCTTCCCTCCTGAGCTCATTCCTGCATTCAGTCACTCATGCATGCGATGACT